AAGGACAATTTGTTTCGCAAAAAAATTACTTCAATTAAATATTCTCACAAACTGATGAGATATTTCCTAGACATATTTAATTTAGAATGTTTAATCGCCCAGTTTAGAAGTAGATTGCATTTTGCAACAAACAATTTTTGTTCCACCTAGAAATACGATTTCTTCAATCGTCATAAGATTAATATTATTTTGTAACGGCTATAATGTTTATTGATTTAAAAAAATATATGAAAGTTCAATTAAAATTGGTTACATGTGTAAAAAAAGTCAAAATCATCGAGAACTCCTTTATTTTCAGAATCGCTTAAAAATAGGTACGCAAACCGTTTTATGTAACGCCTATGGTTTAAATGAGACGGGAACGTAAGCATTTAGAAAAACTATGGAGTATAATTGGGGTCTTGACGATTCCACTGAGTTACAACGGTCGTAGTCACGAGTAGACTGAAGTAGAGCTGTCATGCCCCTGTTTTATGGGTAGCAGAAAAAACTTCTTCTTCTACCCACTTATTGTCCTCAGACAAATCGTGTCCCTATATTGAGGTTTTCGGCACATAACACTGTCCGTGTTTTTATTCAATGCATTTACCGTCTGCACATTGTAGTGAGGTAATGTTTTTTTATATATAATTTGAATTGCGTTAATTCTCGTCTCTTGTAAACTATAAACCATGCAACGCGAAAACCTAAAAGTTAGTATCTAATCTGTATCGAAGTCATTGTTGAACCCTTAATTAAACGACTTCATTTAGAAAAAAAAATATATTTATGACTAATAATTAACATTCTTTTATTACGTTTAACTATGAGTTAGTTAGGTAGTCAACTAAGAGTGACCACTGAACACGAGGCAACTGTGTTTAATAAATATTTTATAAATCGTAGAAATTCAACCCTATATTCTTTATGGAAGGTGTGTGGTTGTCGCGTATGGCTATTACTAGGTACTAACGGAATCACTGATGACGGTTGGCCCACATCTCACCGGAAGCGGCAAAGACGACCGCTTTTTCGGAGCTGACCTGCAGCTTTGTAACTATTATAGCAGTTTAGGTAGAAAAGAGTTTTTGATTTTTATAAGGGTCACAGTACATATATTTTTAAACTAGCTTTTCGCCTGCTACTTCGTACGTGTTGATTTCAGAAGTTAGACAACCAATTAAACCACTAGATCACTTCTAGATGTGTCAATATAAAACACGTACCAGACTTTAAGTCAATCTTTCAGAAACACGATTATGATAACAAGTAGACGCTATTGATTGCAAAATAATTATCAAAATCGGTCCAGAAAACATCACCTAAATTTATAATTACAAAAATAATGAAATTATTGCCACATTGGATAAAGCTTTTTTAAGGCTAAGGTAATTAATAAAAAAAGAATCTAAAGGATTTTGTCAGATGTTTAGTGGCATTTAATATATTTTCCTGAAATAAATGTGGTCCATTAGGTATATTATAGGTGCCCGAAAGATATTTTTACATTTGTTTCAGTATAATAGAACGGTAAGTAGATATTTTTATATCTTCTCACAAACAAATTCAATAAATGCCGTACCATATTTATGAAAGATAAAAACTTCTTTAATTTCCTTTTGTGGATTGGACGCTCTGTGGTGTACAAGTTCTGGAAACACTCATAATACTCATTTGCTATTTATTAATTATTTTCATTCAAATTCTGTCATACTCTCTCTCTCTCTCACTATCTCTTTTCATCGTTATTTTCTGTAATTTTCTAGTTGCGATTTCCTTTTTCAACTGACTTCTAAAAGAAAGAGGTCTAATTTCGATGGTACTTCTTATGATTGTATACTTATACTTGTTGAGAATGAGGTAACAATCATAATAAATGATGATATTTTTCATTCTACACCGAGGTTTCAAAATGACTGCGAAAGACACAAAAAGTCATTGAAATGGGCTAAAAATTGTTGAAGATATCATTTAACATCCTTTATTCCTAACCTTGTAGAAATTTGTAATTTTGAGATAATACTTTCCCAATAACTATCTGACATTTCATTCTCTGAATTTTCGTTATTAATATTTACGCAATAAAACACAACTGTTGTCCAACTTCAGATCGGTCGTCGAATTAGGTAGCTCCAATCATTAAGGAGGATACTGAACGGTTATATAGGTATTATTTCATTTAATTATTTTCCCTAAAAGCGGCTAATTCCTAAATAAACGCTTTATTCAAAATTTTGCTCTGAAATTTTAGATCGTCTGTTTACAAGTTAGTAAAGTTATGAATGGGTGTTTGAAATTCATTAGACTTTGAAAAATGTCTTCTAACATTTTTTCGTCTTCTGTTTGACTTAAAAAGGAGAACTTAAATATATATATATATATATATATATATATATATATATATATATATATATATATATATATATATATATATATATATATATATATATATATATATATATATATATATATATATAGTATGTTATTTTCACATGTATATTTCTTTCGATCATTCGGATGTATGATTTCGAACGTTTACGACTATTACAAAAGTTGTGATAAATAATAAAAACTTTACTCCAAATTTTTGGTGACAAAAATTGTTAATAATATTTTTCATCACCAAGAATTTTGAGACAAACAAATAAATCTTTGAAGAAATTACCTATTAGTACATAAGTAGTTATCATGTCTGGTATTTGGTAATAATTTCCCAAAATTTATTTATTAAGACATTAAATACCTTTTAGTGTCTGAGGTGAAACTGTGGTTGGAATTTTTATGATTTTGTTGATATGTTTAGATACCGATATATTCTTTTTTTTTTATCTGGATAGCTGAAATTTAAAACAACAAATAAAACCTGTTTTTATTTTTTATCTTGACACTGATTTTTAGTATACAGGTAATAATTTATTGCTTTATTTACCTTTTTATATAAAATAGAATATATAGGTTATTTGTGTTGTATTATATTTATATTCAGACGGCCATTTCCTAATCTTGCCATTAGTGATGACGGCACGTATTTATACCAACACAATATCGTTCAACCTCTGTGCTAATAGTTATGAAATATAGCGTACTTCGGTTTAACCTCTAAATCATAATACCAGGAACTAAATTTTAATATGAGCTAGAGAGGATGATTTTTAATTAAATTATTAAAAATAAAAATAGTCAAACTACAAACCGTGGGATTAATTTTAATTATTTAAAATTGACCTAAATTCTTAGAATAGCTAAAAATTTAAATAATTATTAAAAGTTTTGGCCAATTTTCATTAAATTAGCTCAGTAGAAATTTAATTTTGTACTTGAGGCTGAATCGGTGAAGAAACTAGAGAGGAGGTTTTATTTATCTGCGGCGCAATTATTACACCGTATTATGTCTTAAAGGTCCATAAATATCTGTTATATTACGGCCAGTTCATTATGAGTAGGTACAAATTCTCTTTGTCAGTAATAAACAATAAATAAAGAATTAATTTGGTAGTGTCAGTGAATTTACTATTAATTTGCAGGCCGAAACTTGTAACTTTGCCGAATGTTCAAGTATTTTGTAATAGATAAGTTGAAATTCCTTTCGTACATTGAACAAAGGCAACACGAAGGTAAATAGGTTACTTTGGTACAAAATCAATATTATTTTACTTGTCTCAAGTCTATTAATATATGGGTTCTATGTTAAAGGCTCTGAGGGATTCTTAAAATACAAACATCTGATCCAATGTAGATACAATAATAATAAAAATATTTTTGCTGAAATGATTAAATTGTAGAAATAACGTCTGTAACATTTTATCGATCGTTGTACTCCAAATGGAAACTTACAAGTAAAGCGATCAAAGACTTGAAATAAACAAGTGTCTATGTGCCTTATAGGCCTTATAAAATTATAATAACGAATAATTCTAAAGATGCCTATCTAGTTTGCTATTATGTTACGTTTTCAAATACAAAATTTAATGTAAGAGTTTTTTCTTCTCATATCACTATAAATGACAAACAAGTATATGTCATTAATCAAGTTGTAGGTTATAAACGATTGCTGCACCTGAGATATAAAGTGCGCATTGCCAATGCTGAAAAAACAAGATACGTCCCTGTTGAGGAACGCGGTACATTACTTTAGTCTCTAGGGAAAATTTCTGTAGGAAGGAAGATGTATGGATGTTTAGATAGGTATTTGGATGTTTGATAATCAATCACCCTTAAACGGCGGAACGGATTCCAGTGAAATTTGGTAAGTACACAGATAAACCATATCCTAAATTAACATAGTACAATTAATATTAGTTTATTTTATATTTTCTAAGATTGTATTGTGCGACACAGTTTTATTTCTATAAATATCATTACTAATATAATAACGGTAATATGTTATAGTGTTTGTTGGTTTCATTCTGTTATCTGATAGGATAAATTTGGAACTTTGAATTTTATAGTATTTTTTTTTGATGGGTGAAAATGGAATGGTAACCCCGCCTGCGCTAACAGGATACGCTGGCGGAGCACCAGTGAAGGGTGATAGATGAGAATGAAAACAGGCCAGTTAGCCCATCATGATGAATTCATCAGAAATTAATCATGATAGTTTCCAGGGGGAACCGCGAGGAGATCGACCTGGCTGGGTATATTGCTAGCAATGGGATTCTCAGTCTCCATTACTAACAATCCCTTTCCCCCTAAAAAAAGCATTAAATAATTTACTACAAATTAAGTAATTAATTAATTACTTATTTACACCTACAAAATAAATTGTCACATTGCTACCGAGAGGTTTGATACTAATTAATGAAAGAAAGAAAATTTATGTAAAATTTGACATTCCATTTGATATTTACTTATCATTTTTCTCATCTTTTATTTATTTGGAGGAAGATAATTATAATTAATAGGAAAAGGAACACCAATTCCTATTAAATGCACGTTCTACATCACAAAACTTTTTAAATTAGACTGGCTACAAATAAACTTTTTCATATAAAGGTGATAATCAAGTTTTTAATAAGTATTGGCCTGTATCCATATTGCGAATTTTCATCACAGTTTATTCCTTTGCGTGGATTTTCATTCAAATAAGTAAGTAAAAAGCAAAAACCTGCGCAAGTTATAGAATATTAATTGGCGCAGGTAACAATTTCCATTATGTTAAATAATTCTGCGAAAAATCTTGCAAAAAATGTGCAATCTAACCTCAACAACGAGACGGACTAATTTAATTTTTACTTTAATTTAAAATTAAATATTTTTTCGACCGAACTTCTTTGTAGTGGCAGATCCGCCTAATATAAAAAGTTTTACTATGTACAAAACAAGACGAAGTCTCATTTTTTACTAAATGGAAAAGTTGTTCGTAATTTGTGACATCTCTGTAGTCTATGTCGTTGTATATATTATATTTTAGATATATTACTAATAGAAATATTTTCTTGAATCCATATGTTGTGTTTGTAATTTTCTTTTAGTTTTGTGACCGTTGTGTTTTACATTTTAGCCATCAGAAGCCTTTGTGTATAAAGAAGGCGACCTAGAAACTTTTGACACCAAAGGGCGACACCCTCACACGAATAGTAATAGTAATCCGTCACTCTTGCCATGCTAATAATGCATAGAATATAGTACCGCTAATCTTAGTTGGTTCGATAAAATAGAGATCTTGATCCTTCTAAGAAACAACTCGTCTAGGTAAGTGGTAATCAAATATATCGATAGAGATGTTTACTAATTGTCTAGGAGGAGGGAAATGGGCGAGAGAATCGACACTTAATATGTATCTGTTCGAAAATGAGATGTATCGCGTTCAATGTATACTTATGTGTCAGGCCGTTTTGTAAAAATTTCTGACAAAAACATTTGGCTATGAGCAAAAACTTTATGTCAATTAAAAATTTTAACCAACACTCTGGTGATGGATAACACTGCTTTTTTTTTAATGGACGATAATGCAATGGTAACCCCACCCGCGCTATCGGTATACACCGGCGGGGCACCAGTGAAGGATGATAGGTGAGGATGAAGCAGATCAGTTGGCTCATCGTGACGAATTCAACAAGAATTGTTCACGATGACTTCCAGGGAGAACCACGTGGAGATCGACCTAATATATAGGGCATATTGCTAGCAATGGGGCTGTCAAACTCCATTGCTAATAATGTCTTTCCCCCTGGATCCCTGTTATCAAAGATAACGTTGTTTCACACATCGCTTGAGACCTTTGAACCAGCATAACTTTTATATTAATAAACTAAGTTAATTATTTATGTAGGTATGTAACTACTTATTTAAAATAAGCAAAATAATTTTCGTACTGGTTAAGATACAGTGTGAAAATTTCTAAAGATTGTATGTTTGTTACAAAATATGTTTGCTTAGTAAAATCGCTGGAAATAGCTAGTAAATTTATATAATATCAGAAAGTATTTACACCTCGACGATGGTGTTTACAAACACATTGTCGAGTTTACTCATATCTTGTAAGCGAGATGTAGGTTGAATACTCGATTTATAGGAAATCGTGTTTGTGCATAAAATATGTGACAATATTTGATATTACAGCAAAATTATAAAGCATAACTACTTAAGAATAGACTACCAGATAATAATAAGTATTTATTTATTTATTCTTTATTGCATCACTTAATTAATAAGTATTTAATTATTAATTTCATCTATCTATTGTTAAAGAACGGTCATTGGCGTTAGTTGGTCATCCGTTTATAGTATTGTGGCTGAAATTTCTCATAATTTATGGACAAAATTAATTTATGTTTCGGAAGAAAGAAAGAAAGAAAGAAGAAACAATTGTATTTTATGTCCTCTTTTAATAATTTAGTTTCTTGGTACTTAATACCTATTGATATTTAATAAAAATACTGAAATTTCCTTCTTTAAAATTTTAAATCTTTTATTATGTCTACATTTTTAAATATCGAACGTTTTACTTGTTATCGGTAGATATCTGTGAAAATTTTGTAGGCATGCACTAGGCTTAATTTTATGTAATTAATTACTGTATAATGTTAAAGTCGGTAAAAATGACAAATATTAAGTACATTTTATTGTTAGAGTGGTATCAAGAATGGAATTACATTAACGCATGTATTTGGGTATGTATATTTTTTTATACATATTAATTTATGATGAAAATATATATGTAAATCCTGCTACTATTTTATAACATGTTACTAATTCTTATTTATTTAAATTGATTATTAATATGATTATGTAAATATTAATTAAAACCAAAGTTAATTTAACGTTATAAAGTTTTCCTCGGAAAAATCTCCCAATGTAGATAAATATTTTGATTTGAATTTGGAACACTTATACTACTTAGATAGCATGTTATTTTGCAAACCAATATAATTTATGTCGATACTAGTGATCCGTCCTAGCTTTGTACGAGTGCAATTTATTACAAAACATTGAAGAACTTCAAACCTTTCGTAATAAATGTTTAAATAACAAATATTCAAACTCCTCCCGTGATTTACAATAATTAAGAAGAGAAACTGAAACATAGGACATAATTGCATTTTAAATATATACCTTGACGTAGACACACTGTTTTGCGGTAAGAGGTCCGGATTCGTTTCCCAGTTAGGCCACTTTAGGAAATGAACGTTCTTAAATTGACTGGTATATAGGTGTTCTGGATTATACCCCCAGATATTCATTGCCTAGTTCTCCATAACACAAAGTATCATAGCTAGAATTTCAAGTTTAAGACGTGATTAATATAATAAAAAAGTAAAGGTACTTATTTATTATATTAATATTAACGTACAGTTTTTCATATTATGTTGGATTTACTTAACAACACCACATATATATCGCTGCATATAATTAGGGCATTTACATACTGTAATGTAAAATGATCTTAGGGTGAAGATTTTTAATCACTTTATAATTTCTTTGTTTCCACTATAATATTCAAAATAAAATATATTCAAAATAAGAAATATTATACAGCAGTTAATTTGTAACAGCTGAAAATCTCCCCTGACTAGGCTGTGTAAATGAATGAGTACTTATACTATACTAAATATAGCTACAACTTCGTCCGCTTGACCAATAAATAAGATAGGGGGGAAGGAATTGTTAATAATGCGGACTATCAGTCTCATTGCTAGCAATATACTCTATCAGGTCGACCTCCATGTAGCCCCTGGAAGCCATCGTGCCGAATTTTAGGTGTATTATAAGTACATCACGATGGTCTTATCGGGAGGAAAGGAATTGTTAGTAATGGGGTCTAACTGAGCCATTGCTAGCAATACATCCTATCAGGTCGACCTACACGTGATTCCCCCAGGAAACCATCATGATTAATTCTAGTGGAATTCGTCATGATGGGCTAACTGACCTGCTTTCATGGTCACCTATCATCCCTCACTGGTACCCCGCCAGTGTATACCGATAGCGCAGGCGGAGTTACCACCCATTAAAAAAAATCACGATGGGCTAACTAACCTGCCTTTTCATTCTTACTTATCACCCCTCACTGGTGCTTCACCAGCGTATACCGTTAGCGTAGGCGGGGTTACCATTCCATTATTATACATTAAAAAATCTATAAAGTACCCTATGCGTTACGCATATAGATTTTTTTTACAACAACGAGCATGCGAATCACCTGATGGTAAGTGACTACCGTCGCTCATGATCACCAAGATATGGAGATGTATGTGTTCTAAATTCTATTCAAATCTGTTCAACCATTTCAACGTAAATAAGCGACATAACATTAAATTTTCATATTTATAATATTAGTTGCATATTATATATAAATCAATAGTAGGTATCTGTCATGCATATGATTGAATCTCTATTCGAGTTCAGTGAACCGTGGATTTTATACCTACCTATGTACAGATATTGACCATAACAATAGATATGAATAAAGTATTATATTCTATAAGAAAGTATAATATCATAGCAGATTATACCGGGAAAAGAAAAAGGAAAATGAAGAAGAGATTGTTAGTAATTGAGAGTAGTGGCCCATTGCTAGCAACATAATCTCCTCTTAGGTCGACCTCCGCGCATCTCCCCCTGGAAACTATTGTGGTTTATACTTAGTGAATATTCTTCTAACATCCCTCAGTAGTGCCAATAGCACAAGGTATGGTAACAACAATGGTAACACCATTTCATTCAGATTATATCAAAGTATAATCAGCTAGAATAATCTAGATCTTACATTGTACATTTTTTATATAACTTGAAATAGAAAACAAGTCGACAGTCTATTTGATGGGAAGTGGTAACTGTCGCTCACATACATTAAAAAGATAATACATTGGTGATAGCAACGCTCAAAGTATATCTTGTGACAAATTTTCTTGATATTCAGATGTCAGGAATGCGTTGCTATTTCTGAAAACTAAATTGTTCTAACTACCTACCCGCAATTTCGCCATATGGGGCAATAATATAAGTAAATAAACCCACAACGTACATTCCTGTTGTAATTTAATTTATTTGCCGGTAAGTCTCCAGGCCCCAGGTGTTTATGTGAGCAACTTACTTCAGCTAATAGATTCTGATAAAGACGGCTACTTGGCATTCTTGTCAGAGCTGAGTAAAATATTTATTTCAGTCCAGATCGTTTTCAATTGATGCGTCGTTATTCCGACTTGAGATAATGAGAAAACGGCTTCGCTCACAGGGCAGGGAGCTAATAACGAGTGAGCTTTATACAATCTTCGTTTTACAATGCAATTGTCTAAAACTGCATAAATATATTCATAACTATATACAATTATGTATGTTCTCGACGTAGAATGGGCTACCTCTTTCTTTCCCGTGGGTATTATAAATAATGGGCAGCAGCGTATCTCTTAAAATACCACCAGATCCCTATTGCAATTGCTAATCTGCCTGGCAAGAGTGGCAACTATTATATATCAATTACAAATAATTAGCCGTATGTCCCCGGCATAGAATAGGTCACTCTTCTTTTACCGTGGTTGTTGTAAGATACAACTAAGGGAATTTAATGGGTAAAGGGTAGGGCGGCAGCGTCTCTTTTAAAATATCAGCAAAGCCTAATTGTGGTTGTTAACCTGTCTGCCAAGCATGGCAATTATTGGCAAAGCCCCTCAAAGATGAGGCTTATGTTCAGCAGTGGACAGTTAATGGCTGATATGAATATGAAATGCTCATGATTGTAATCCCAAATGGGGTAATGATTGTCTATGAAAACATGGCACGCCTTCAAAAATTCAATGAAATAAATATGTATGAATAAAAATATTTACAAAGTTTTCACCAAGGAATATAATACTCTTCTGGCCAGATCGAATAATGAAGGTGTTTTCTCACAAATACCTATACAAACAGAACACCACGCACGTGTATGCTCACACATATCTAGGCTGCCTTGTATGTTAGCACATTAGGTTTATAACATTGATTTGGATTTTTCATATCATAATGTTATAATTATTTTTAATGAATAAAATAAATTTAAGTGAAAAGTTGGAGAAGTGTGCCATGATAACGTAGAAAATCTATTGTTATTAGTTGACTGTTGACTTAAATATTTTAGTATATGATCAATTATATTTCATTTACTAGCTATATCTCTCGACTTCGCCCGTGGTTGTATCGTGATATTGAATTGTCGATAAAATTCATTCAATTCGAAAATAAAAAAGTAATGGCAAAGCACAAACAAACAAATACTTCCGCTTTATTAAAATAGTATAGATTTAGGTCCTATATTTAATAGTCTACTGTCGTGGCAGAGTTATTTTATGCAAGGTCTGTATTTTTTCTATACTATTTAGAATAGTAAATAAGCTGATGGGTCTCCTAATGGAAAGTGGTAACCTTCGTCTAAAGACATAAAGAGCATCGTGGGTAGCACAGAATACAAGACGCGAAAATAATTAATTGGTTACACCTAATTAATTATTTAAAATTAAATATTTGCAATATATATTAGCAGCAGTTATCAGAATTGCCTTTTATCAATTGAAGTCGGAGGGGTTTTATTTTATAAAAAAAAGTACTAGTTTTTACCCTCGAATGTGTTCGCATGACGAGGATCTATCAAGTGATCGAGATAAATAGCAGCCTATGTCCTTTTCTATCCTATATAGTATCTACATATACAATTTCGTAACAATTAGTAAAGCTAATGGCTCAAGAAGTGATAAACAAACTCATTTTCACATTTATAATATAAGCAAGGATTCAAAATATTTTTACTGCCAATAAACTCCTTTTCGTACGTTTAATTTAGTTAGCAAGAGCTGTATAAGCTTGTTACTAACATTCAATGTGCTTCATTAAACGAGCAACGTAATCCTCAGACGACGCGCTCGCCAGTATTTTTTCAATATCTGTTCATGAAAGGTCAGTAAGACAATATTTTATTATATTACTTTACGAGCAAACATAATGAATACGAAATGATGATTAAATCAAGCTTGGAATATAATTCTTATTCATCTATTCATGTGTAGGTAGATATTGTCCAGTCCAATAATCCTAATAATATAATAAATGGATGTTTGTTTTTCTTTATTTTTTTTTTTATATAACACAAGGGCAAATGAGCATACGGCTCAGTGATAGTAAGTGACTATCGCCACCCATGAGCATCTGTAATACTTGAGGCATTGCAAGTGTGTTGCTGGCTTTTTAAAAAGTTAACAAGCTAACAATAAGTATTCTCTTTTCATGAAGGTCACGATGTCGTATTGGTACAGAAATAGTGCC